GGTTCGGCCGAACCTAGGGATGGTTCGGTCGAACTGTCCTGCTCCTGGTTCGTTCGAACCTTTGGAGTTCGACCATTGCTGCAAAACTGACAAAATCGGGTTTGAAACTGACAAAATGGTTCGGTCGGACTTCCTAGGTTAAGTCCTACCGAACCTCTTCAATTCTTCTTGTCTTCAAGTGTGATGATTGTTAGCCCGAAAGGTGACCTCCAAGGAGCTTGGCCTGACTTCGTGTCACGACACGTGGCAAGTCTTCCACTTCTTCCACTAAGTTTCATGCACCCGCGTCAGGATAGTGTGCAACTTATGCAAATTATAAATACAAAAGCTTGAGTGATTTTACCGAGATCTCAAAAATTCAAAAAAGCAAAAAATAATAAAAGTGTAAAAGGGAAAGTGTTTTAATGTCATTGATATGAACATGTCTTTGATATGAACACGTCTCACATTGCGTCTCTTATCGAGCGCTCGGTACCGTGCATGAGAAACATGAATGCCAAGTGAGTGACAGACCGCGTGATCGGGATTGCCCACCCACAGTTATCAAAAAATGCAAAAGAAAAAAAGAAAGAGAGCAAAAAATAGACAAAAGAAAGAGAGTTCAAAAGTGAGAAACCTCAACCATACAAGTGTAAAGATTCAGATGCAAGGTTGCACATCTAGGGTCTTGAGCCTTTTTCCCCTTCTTTTTCAACCTTTATCCTAACCACGTTACAACCCATCAAAAGACCTCTTTGAGGTATACACATACTTGTGTGAGGTTCGGCTAGAGCTACGTTTGGCCTGATTCCTAACGGATACATAGGCAACCTCACATTGGGGTGCGGTCGTAATAAAAATGCATACATTCACATTCATATTTGCATTTATGCATGATCATATCAAGGGATCTCCAATTTTTATCCCTATCCAATTAGATCTAGAATCAGGGGCTTGATCCTTACATCATTAGCCTACCCAGCCTAAGAGTCACCACTATTTGACTCTTCTAAAAATATTCTTTCTACACTTCTCCCTTGCAGCCAAATTGTAGTGTCACTTGCACACATTGCACACATACATAGACGAATAAACCTTCCCTTAGGAACCCTTTGTCATGAAATCTTGAAACAACGTTGAAGCATGCATGCCTTGTCATAACAAAATCACTCATCTCTCATCACTGCATCACGAAGTATGAAGTACTTAGCCTCCGTGCCTAAGTTACCTAAATACTTTCGTAATCGAGTCAACAACCGAGATAGACTTGGATGATAGAATCCTTGCACCATGAAATACAACATCAATGCATTAAGCTCATTCAACATGCACTTTCAAACACTTCACTTCTTCCTTTTCACTTCTTTCTTTTTCGGGAGGAAGTCGGTATCCTCCACAAAAATGATGGAAATTTTTTTCTTTTCTGCATTTTGAGTCAAGCACATCACAATACAATGCACACACGAGTCATGTACATTAAGTCATGTGTCATATCACATCGAGTGGAGTCTTGCACCTTGAGTCATGTTGAGTCGTATGTGTCAAAACACATTGAGTCGAGTTCACACAATGAGTTGAATAGCGCCAAGCCTTGGGTAAACCCTAATATAATGATAAACATGAGAAAAGTCTTATAATCCAAAATATAGATGCAGGTACACTAAGTCCAAAGCTAAACGAGTAGAAGAAGTTATGAATTGGATTCAAGCGCATTGCAAAATAAACAACGCAACATGATGCACCCTGGAGTAGCACGATGCTCTCCAATGCAGCACGATGCGCCTTAGCGTTGCACGAAGCTTCCTAACGCAGCACGAAATACCTTGACGCGGCGCGACATACCTTTCGTTGCATGATGGCTCTAATTTTCCCGCGTCAGCCTTCGATAGTTTCACAATTTTGATTGGTTGGTTTGTGACTAACCCATTTGAGTCTCTGATGAACATTCGATCCTTTGATCGGTAATCGACTCGATTACAGATTTGATTGATGATTGGCCTGATGACGATCATATTATGAACACCTTTGATTAATAGTCAGCCTAATTACAACTTGATTGATTGATGATCGGCCTGATGACGATCAAAAGAAGCTGATTTGAAAATTGATTAAGAACATTTGAGTAGTGATTGATCATAATCACAAAGAATTCCTAGGGTGGAAGAATTTTACAGAATTAGACTTGAAGATCAAAGAAACCTAAGTAAGGTTCTTCCCAAATCTAGAAAGGTCAATTACTCTTAAGAATAAGGACAAGAAAATTTGAAGACTCAAGATGAAGAAGTCTTCAACAGGGGGACTCTATGATTAAAGGCTCTCTCGCTTGGATTTGAGAAAGACGTTTTAAGATAAAGCGGTCTTTGATAGCTTTCGCTATGATTGAGGAGGTTATCATTTAATTTGAGAAGATGGCGCGAGATGAGCGGTCTTCGATAGCTTTTTCTATGATTGAGGAGGTTATCATTTGATTTGATGAGAAGATGACACGAGATGGTCGATCTTCGATGGCTTTCGCTAAGATTGTGGAGGTTGTCATTTGATTTGAGAAGATGGCACGAGATGGGTGATCTTTGATAACTTTTGCTAAGGATTGTGGAAGCTATCACTTGATTTGAGAAGGTGGCACGAGATGGGCGATCTTCTACGACTTTCGCTAAGATTGTGGGGGTTGTCACCTAGATTTAAGAAGATAACATAAGATGGGTGATCTTCGATAGCTTTCGCTAAGGTTATGGGAGTTGTCACCCAAATTTGAGAAGAACGGTTCATGATGAGGCGGTCTTTGACGACATTAGCCATGATTGTGAAGGTTGTCACCAAGATTCAAGAAAATAGCTCGTGATGAAGCAACAATGATAGACGATGTTCCCTAAGATATGGAAGATTGTCACAATAAACTGAGGATCGTACAAGCAGAATGGTCTTCGACGACGTTCCCTAAGATGTGGAGAGTTGTCACAAACAACTGAAGATGGCTACAAGCAGAGTTATCTTCGACGATGTTCCCTAGGATGCGGAATATTGTCAGAAAAAGGGGGATGACTACAAGCGGAGTTACCTTTGATCATATTCTCTTGGATATGGAAGATGGTCATAAAACGACAGAAGGTTGCGACAAGCGGAGCAATCTACGGTGGTGTTCCTTAAGATGTTGAAGACTGTCACAGCGGAAATTGAAGGCAGCTACAAGCAGAGTAGTCTTCAGGCGATGTCCCCTAGCTTGTGGAGGTCATCAAACAAAACGGTTACCCAGAGACGTGTACTCGATGGTGCAAGATACGCGTTTCTTAACTCTTTTATCTATTTAATTAACGCTAGTTTGCAGGTATCGGCGTTACAAGGATGATTTAGGATCAAAGAACGTTCTGAATCATTCTCTGTCCCTATCGCTACTTTGACTTTTGTTTTTGAAACTTACGTTTCTCCAAACTCAGTTAAAGTGGGGGCTTCTGTAGACACCTGATTGTGTCTCCCCAAAACCAAACCCAGTGATGAATACCTTTCATGTCATTGATTATCTAACGAGGTGAAATGTGAAGGAGTCTCTTGAATCTCTCTATTTTTTAATAAAATTGCTTCTTTCTGTTTTAAAAAAATCTTTCATTTCGTACCCTGTTCATGAAAAAAGTCAATTCAAGTTTAGTTTGGTCCATGATAGGGGCCCAATAATGGTGTATTTTGATAGGGTTTGAAAAGACCTTTCCAACTATACATTATAAGCCAAATTTTGATGAGTAATGAGAAAGTTATGGCCAAAATACTAAACTGAGCCCAAACCGGATTTTACCTACGGCCCAATGATCATGTGGAGGGTCCACTAATCTTAATTATATTCCTAAACTAATTAGGATTTATTGGAAAATTCTATAATTTTTGAAAGATCTTGACTATCCTTTTTAAAAAGATAAGATCAAAGAGTTTGAAATTGGATAAAACTTTCCTTTTTAAGTCCTAATTCATTTCAAAATGAAATACGTTCAAAGACATTTTGTGCCTCATAATTTTTATCCAAATCTTATAATATATTATAATATTAATTCCGATCTATAACAAATAAGATATGAAAGAAATACGAAACTCTATCCAGAACTGAAACCGTCCCACTACTTCGGCCATATCTTTTTTCTACCAAAGATTTTAATATGGTTGGAAATTAGACTTCAAGACTTTCCAACGACATATTATACGCCTTATTTGGACTTTTGGATCAAAAGTTATGATAAAAACAAAATCCGCAAAAATCGCTGACCGTTGAGTTTTATTTCGATTCGAATTCAGATTCTTTTCCATTCTTTCAACCACTTTTTCCCTTATAAATAGAGGTCATATCACCCCTTTTTCAATCATCAACAATCACCAACAATCATCTAATTCCATTATCATCTTTGTCTTAAGCAATAGCTTATTCTTTCTCCCTTTTTCTAGCCTAGCCTTTTTACAAACACAATACCGCATTCACGAGTCTTAGACACACCTAGCCAAGTTCGAAGTTGCCTTCGCTCTAGACGTGAAAGGTTGATACTTTCTGAGGGTTTGGTCCCAAATCCCTATTTCAATTATTTAATTTAATCGTTTGAATTAATATTTTTCTTGAAGTTACTAACGTGTGTATTGTTTTGATAGAAACAGATACGAGGCATCAAAGTAAGTATTACTTCTTAATTATTCCTTTGATATAGAAATCATGTTTCTTATATTTTATGATTCCTAGTATCATGTTAGGATGTTATTTATTGCTTTTTAGTATCATGTTTAGGTTGGTTCCAATTTTCTTAAATCATGTTAGTATCATGTTAGGGATAAAGCTTTGATCATTATTGTTTAGTGACATGATATGATTTGTTATTAATCTTGTTAGTATCATGCCCAGGATCTTGATATTACTATGCTTTCACTAATAGAAAAAAGCAAAAAGCCACCCCTCAATAGCCATCGGTTTTTAAAAACCGGTGGGGAAAAAAAGGGGGGGAAATGGGCGGGACTGTGGGGATATATTATTGCCATCGGTTCAAACCGAACCGGTGGGGAAAATGTTATTCCCACCGGTTTTGAACCGGTGGGTTTGTTATTTTTTTTAAAAAACTGCCCCCTTATAACCCCTAACCCTACCTCACGCACTCCTCACTTCTCAGCCGCCCATTTTCTCCCTCCCCTCCTTCTCTTTCTCTCTCCTCTCTCCCTCTCCTCATTCTCTTTCTCATCTCCTTCTCTCTCTTCTTTTTCGACTCCTTGTCTCAAAAAACCAGAAATTAGTTATAGAATCTCACAATTGATTATAGATCTTTCACTCGTTGTCTCAAATTCTCTTTTATTCGACTCCTTCTCCCTTTTTTTTTTGATCTCGTTCTCGTCTCCTCTTTCATTTCGAGGACATGCATGAACAAGAGCAACACTGATTTCGAGGGTTTTTGTTGAAATTCGAAGTAATTTCTCTTATTTCTAAGATTTATTTTGTTTTTATTTTATTTTTGGTGGAATTCGTGGGATGTGGTGGTTTTTGGTGGTGGTTGTGGTTATGGTGGTTTAAGGTGGGTGGGTTTTTGTTATTTTTGGCCAAATTCAAAATGGATTTTTCTGGGTTTTTTATTTTAATTTCTGGGTTTTTTTTTTTTAATTTTTCCTGTTTTTTTTAATTCTTCTGGGTTTTTTATTTAAAATCTGGGTTTTTGATTTTACTGTTTTTTTTTTTTAAATTTTCTGGGTTTTACGATTTTTCTGGGTTAATTTTGTGTTTAATTAATCGGGTTTTTTGGGTACATGCATGCGTTTTTGGTTTTTTTTTTTATTTTTTTGGGTATTTTTATTTAAATTTCTGGGTTTTTTTTTTTATATTTCTGTGTTTTCGATTTTTCTGGTTTTCTGGGTTTTTTTTTTCGGGGAATTCTGGGTTCGTGAGTTTTATTAATTTTTTTCGTTTTAATTGTTGTAGGTATATTTCAAGAAGCAGGAAAATATAAATCGACGAATTGCAATTTCTGGGATTTTTTTATAAGTATTGTAATTTTTTTTATTTATACGTTGTAATTGTTAGATTATTTTGTTTTTAAGACAAATTGTTAGATTAAATTGATTTATATTGTATTTTTTTTTTATTATATGTTGTAACTTTTCGATTATAATGATTGAAATTTCGATTTATATTTTGATTGTGAATTTTTTTTAGTTGATTGCTAACTATATTTAAAGTGAAAAGGACAAAAGAAAAAAAAATAAATTTCATGCACATTGCCACCGGTTAACCGGTGGCATTTATAATTTATACCCAAAAAAAAAGCGGCAAAAGTCTTTTGTCACCTGTTAACCGGTGGCAATTCTTATTTTTGCCACCGGTTTTGAACCGGTGGCTTCTCAAGGGATTATTGCCACCCCCAAATGCCCAGCGGTTTAAAACCGGCGGCATATGGGGGATTTTGAACCGGTGGCTTTTAGCTATTTTCTACTAGTGTTTGATGAGATTGAATATTATTTTGATGATGATGATTTGTTGTTATTTTTTATTATGTTGCTTGATATATTATTAATGTTATTGCTTGATTATGCCCTCTCTTACAGATTTAAAAGGAATTTGTATTTGTAATCACGCTTAATAAGATAATAAATAATCTTGTTTAGGCTAATGTGATTTCAAGTGATCTCCAATAATAGGTTTTTTGTGCATCAATATTCAAATAATATAGATTAAACAAGTTTAGGATTAATATATTGATTGCATGTTATTCAGAAAGCGCACATGAATATGAGAAGAATAAAGTAGAGGCCTATTTAGGGCAGGTTCAATCTCTTTTTTGGTTGGATTTTTACCTTCAACCCCGAATATCCAGTTATGGTTCAAGGCCACTATTGAATTAGCGATCTCATGGATCGTGAAGGGGTCTAACTTTCACCCTGTGAACGGTTTACAAGCTAAGATCCTAAAACTTGTTGGCGACTCTTTTGCTATTACTTCCTTCCCTTTGGACGCAACTATACTTAAGTGTATGATCATAGTGGGGCTCAAGTGTGGGATGCTTGAAATAATATTCCCTACAGTTATAGATAGAGGTTACTTAGTCAATGTTAGACGATACTCAAATAAGTATTATAGAGGTTACATGGTTAGTTCTATAGGTATTACTTTGTCCGGCCAGATGGTGTGGCTAGCTGAATACAAAATGCATTGTTATTTAGCTTATTTAAGACAACAATAGAAAATTAGTAAAAATAAGTTTTAATTAGTAAAAAATAATTTTACTTTGGTGAAAATATATTTAATTAGTGAAAATAATTTAAGTTCAATAAATATAATTTCAAGTTAATAATAACGTAGAGATCTATTTACTAACAAAACTATAAAAAATACACTAATATACAATTATAAATCATATTATATCGTATGTCTAAATATCCTACATCATCAAAATGAAATATCTGTTTTTAATCGTTAAATTTTATCGACCTTCTGGGCATCGCTCGGTCACAAAATTAGTAACTAATATATAAAGCTAAACTTTTAGCCAAGTCATGAGATATCAACACTTGACGTTTTAACTTTTCACCAAGTGTGGCGCCATGTAGGCAATAATTAAGTATTTCTATGATACGTTGGATTTAGTTGGATAAAATTTTTATGAGTAAAAAAGTTGTATTTTTTTTTTATAATGATAATTTCAAGGATAGATTTTCAATTAAATTTTGACAGATTTTATATGATAAAATTGTTGGTTTAGAGTTTTATTTTTAATAAAATATCAATATTTTAAAGATACAAAATAAATTATAAGTTTAATCAGACTACGAGTCATTGACACACTTGATATTTTAACTTTTCATCCAATGTCGAGCCACGTAGACAACAATCAAATATATTATCATATAAATTTATTTTTATATCATAATTTTTTTTGAGTGAAAAAAGTAGTTTAAAACGTACAACATTCATTTATAATATACTATAATTGATTGAAATGAAATACTAATTCACAACTTAATGTAATTTTATTACTGTATGTAGACCTGACAATCAGTTCGGTCATGGATCAGTTAAGATCGAGTCACTTCAGGTCACAGGTCAAGAAATGTTTAATGCTAGCCGAAAGTTTTGAGTTCAAGTCAACCTAACAAGCTTAGAACATTTATTTTTGTTTAATATATTTTTGCCTAATTAAGAAATTACCACTCCGTATTAATGATATATTTTAAAACTTGGTACATAGAGAAAACGTTTATCTTAAATTTCAATATACAACTCGGGCATCGCATGGGGCACCAAACTAGTAACTAATATATAAAGCTAAACTTTTAGCCAGGCCACGAGGTAGAGACACTTTGCGTTTGAAATTTTTGTCAAGTGTTACGTCACGTAGACATAATTAAATATTATTATGACACTTAGGATTTATTTGGATATATTTTTTATGAATAACAAAGTTATAATTTTTAATAGGATAACAACTAAGATAGATTTTATCGGATAAAAAAGTTAGGTTAGAGTTTTATTTTCAATAAATATTAGATAGATTTATAGGATAAAATTATTGGTCTAGAATTTTATTTCCGATAAAATACCTATATTTCATAGGTACAAAATAAATTATAAGTTTAGCTAAGTTAGTGACACTTGACATTTTAACTTTTTACCAAATGTCATGCCACGTTGACAACAATTAAATAATTTATCATATAAATTCAATTTTATATATCATTTTTTTGGAGCAAATGAAGTAATTCAAAACGTACAACATTCATTTATAATATAACTTAATCGATTGAAATAAAATTCTTTACAATCTAAATGATTTTATTACTTTATGTAGAATTGTCAATCGAGTCGGGTCACGGGTCGAATCACTTTAGGTGACAGGTCAAGAAATGTTCACACAAGTCCAAAGTTTTGGGTTCGGATCAACCCAACGGGCTTATAACAATTTTGTTTTTTGTTTACTTTATTTTTTTGCTAATTTTTAGAAATTTCTATTATTTCAAGCTTACTATGCTATATTTTTAAATCAAACATTTTCACCAATATTATTATTAGTCATTACATGTCTACTATATAATTTAAATCATTACAAAATAACATCAATTTCTAACTAATTTTGTATCAATGATATTGTAAAACTTGGTATATAGATAAAAAGTTTATATGAAAATTCAATATTCAACCCGTGCATCGCACGGAACACCAAACAAGTTATTATATATAATAATTCTCTTAAGTCTTAACATGCAACCAGCCTTCCCTAGATCAAAACTGTTTTTATTAGTTGTACATTACTACTTCTGATTTTTTTAGATTATCAAGTGATTATATATTAATCCATAAAATACCCATTAACGGACAAGTATGATTGTCAAGTAATTATTAATCCATGAGTAGAAAATTCAAATAAACTTATGTGGTTTCCAAAAAAAAAAAAAAAAAAAAAATTATATAATTTAGATAATAAGTTTTATTTTAAATTCAATAAACCATCCGATCATCGCACGGGACACAAAACTAGTTATTATTATAATTTAATTTTTTATATCATACTTTTTTGGAACGATGGAAGTAGGTCAAAACGTACCACATCCATTTATAATATATTCTAAACGACTGAAAAAAAAATTATTTCACAATCTAACATGATTTTATTACTGTATATAGACGTGTCAATCGGGTCGGGTGATAACTCATTTCGGATTGGGTCACTTCAGGTCATAGGTTAAGAAATGTTCAACTCTAGACTAAATTTTCTGGTTCGAGTCAACCCAACAACTTAGAATAATTATTTTATTCAATTTATTTTTGATTCAATTTTAGAAATATCTAATATTTCAAACTAACTTTGCTTCTTTTTTTTTAATAATTTTTTTACTCGAATATTTTCACCAATATTATTATTAGTCATTACATACCCAGCAAATACATCATTTAAATTGTCACAAAAGCAAATTAATTCTTAATTAATTTTTTTATCAATTATATATTTTAAAATTTGACATTTAGATTAAAAATTTATCTTTCATTAAACAATTTGGGCATCGAATGGGGCATAAAAGTAGTTGATTATAGAGAATCACATATACGATAAGGATTTTTTTTTATTTTTATTTTAAAAAGAAAAGAAGAATTGAACTAAAACAATGAAAAGATATTGATTACATTATACAAATACTAGATGAAGCCCGTGCAATGCACGTTTTTTTGAATTTTTTTATAATATATATTTTCTAAATTTATGTGCGAAAATTGGTTATATATTTAGATAAAATTCCCAATGTCAAAAGATAATATTTTATATTTAATTAATTTAAATTTAATTTGCTAATTTTGCTTACGTGACATTTGAATTATTTAATTATAAAAGATTTTAATAATCTATTATTTAATTGGCTAATGCTAAAATTTAAAATTCTACATGGCGCACTAAGAAAATTAGATCATACATGGCTCTCTAAAAATTCGGGAAAAAAACTCCCCTAGTTTTATGCCCGTGCGATGCCCGGGTAGTTTATTGAATTCTAATTTAAACTTTATATTTACTACATACGAAGTATATGCCAAATTTTAAAACATATCATAGATGCAAAATTAGTTAGGAATTGATTTGCTTTTGTGACGATTTAAATTATGTAAGAGGCATGTAATGACAAATAATATTGGTAAAAATGTTATATTAAAAAATTATATAAAAAAAAATATCAAAATAAGTTTGAAATATTATAAATTTTTAAAAATTAGCTTAAACTAAATTAAATAAAAAAAAAAAATTTAAACCCGTTGGGTTGATTTGAACCCGAAACTTTGGGTTAGGGTTGAATATTTCTTTACCCGTGACCTGAAGTGACCAACTCAAATTGACCCGTGACTCGACCCAATTGACAGCTCTACAATCCATCAGGATATGTTATAAGAAATGTTGTTCGTTTTGAACTAAAAATAAATTTATATGATAATTATTGAACTTACTAATCTAATATTTTTTTGAATAATATTATAATTTAATTTGTATATATGAAATTTGGTATTTTATCAAAAATAAAACTCTAAACAAACATTTTTATCCTAACTTCTATTCAAATTTGATTGAAAATAAAATTCTAAGCTAACTTTTATATCTTACAAAATCTATCCAAATATTTTAGGATAATTACTAAAATCCTACGTGTCAAAATAATC